AGGAATGCATTGCCTGGGGAGGCCATTAAATCTCTGCCTGGCAAAACCCCTAGTGAGAATCGTTTGGGTAGGGTTGACCCTGCTGTAGGTGACCTCTCCACAGCCATTCCAGCCCTCGTCCCTGTACTTCAGACAGTTTTTTAGCTGTGGGTCTGCAGCTGAAGCTTCTCTAGCACATCCTAATAAGTCTGTGAGAAAACACTTGTGTGTGTGTCCTTCTCTCCTATCTGCTCTGTTCCCTGCAATGTCTGGCCCCGTCCCTGTCACGTATACATGCTGTGGGTTACTAGCTGCCTGCCAGGCAGCAGCTGGGCTCTGTTCACCTCAGACTACAGCCTCTGTCCCTGATCCTCCAAGGTTTAACCAAACGTGTGTTTGCTCCTTGTGCTCGCATCTAGCCGAGCCAGCCAGGGCCCTCCCTCCCCTCAACAAGGTTGTCTGCATTTTGTAATTCTGCTTTTCTTGGGTTTACGTGCTGGTTTTCCTGAGGACCCAGGGACAGGGGCTATATCTCCTAGTGGGCTGGGGCCAGGAATCCTGGAACACTCCTGGTTTTGCTCGAGGTAAACCAGCTGGAATCCCTCTCCTGGCCCCTTGTGTGGAGGCAGGACAGCACATGCCAGGGTAGTTCAAGGTAACATACAGATTTGGGTGTGCTTTGAAGAGCTGACCTTTGAACAGAAAGTTTCTCAATCTTGGTTGATGGTGTGTACTCTCCTGGCAAAGGTTTGGCCCCTACTGGTGTGACAAACCTGGAGTCCACCATGGTGTCCATAGCAGCTCTGCAGATGGTGGTTTCCTCCATAGCCCTGCAGAGCCCTTTCTCTCCCACCCATTTAGCTTGTCTCTTAGTTTTATCTGGGATGCAATTGTAAGTACAGAACAGTGTAGCTTAGTTGTGGAGTGACTCGTGTAAGTGGCTGCATCTATGTGCACTCAAGATGTGCATCTATGTGCTGTCAAGATGACATTTTGGAATCTCTACAGCAACTACAAAACCTAGATTTTTAATTAATTATTCTGGAAATGGAGAGGTTTGCAGTTGGAGCAGCACTCCTTGTGTGACTAAGAGGTCTATTTATTTTACTTTGGCATTGCCAAATGTCACACACAGCAGTGGCTGCCTGGACCAGAGCTGTACTGGAGCAGAAAGTGCAGGGTTTTGGCAGCTGCCCAGTGGGGCTGCTCTCAGGGCTCTTGGCACCCTCTGATGGTGAGTGTGTGGGCAGCAGTGCAGGGATTGGAACTTCTCTGTGGGCTGGAGTTGGGAAATGCAATTTCTGTCTTCAAGGAGAGTTGCAGAATCAGTGTAAAATACCTGATTTGACTCCAGTTTGCCCCTGGGGATCTCATGCTGTGTAGGCTTTTGACTGGTCGAAGAAAAAGAGTGTGAGGAGAATGCCCAGTGAAGGGGGAGAGAGCAGGGAGAGAGGGAGGAATGGAAACAAGCTGAAAGGGGAGGAGAGGGTATCATGGACCTGACCCAAGGGTGTTTGCAGGGGATGAGAAGAGGGAATTACTGTTCAGTCTGGCTTTTGCACAGCATGTTTCCCCTTCCCAACTATTTTGCTTTCTTGGATGTCAAAATCCAAGCTTGTATTTTGCACAAGGCTGTGATGAGGATGGGTTAGTGTTGGAGCAGGAGGTTGGGAGAGCCTGGCTGCCTGGTCCCAGGCTTGGAGAAGGCTCCAAACAGCTGTGGTCCTGAGTGGGTGGGATGAGGAAAGATAGAGCTCACTTGGAGAGGGGATGGGGCAGGAACCCACGGCATCGAGCCAAGGGAGGAGCTGTGTGCTCTGCAGTTTTGCTGAAGTTTAAGTCCTCTTAAAATAGTTTTGTTTGGCTATTTATCATTAACCAAAGTCAACTGTTAGTTTTAAGTCTGTTCTTGCATATCAGAAGTGCAAGACAGTACAAGGAGACCTAAGGTGGCAAATGTCTCTGCCTGTGGCAGGTCAGCTGGTGGGAGAGGAAGCATCCTCAGCAGCCTGTGACTACCTTGAGGACTAAGAAACCTAGGAAACAGGACCACAAGGAGAAGTTAAGGAGATTGGTATGGTTTACTGTAGCAAAGAGAGGGCACTCACTCAGAGTCTGTGCTAAAGGGTTTTTTTAGCGTGTGAGAAGGTGTCAGGAACAGGATTATAATCAGTTTGTTTTCTGTGTCAGCTCAGGAGGACTTAAAGGCACAGCAAGGAAGATGTACAGCAGATGGTAGGAAAACACTTCTAACTGTAAGGCTAATTATGCACTGACACGGGTTACCTGGAGCAGGAGATTTCCAGAACAAGTTAGATGAACTTTCTGGAGGTTGCCCCAGGGGTATGTGATCCTGCACCAGTTCTGGGGAGGGAGCAGATGACCTGCTGGTTTCCTTTTCAGCTTCCAAGTGATCTCTAATGATCACAGTCATCCAAGAAAAGCCTCCCAGATCAGATGACCCTTCCCCAGTCTCTGCTCATCCTTAAGCTGGTTGGCATCCACCTTTGGTGAGATTTTTTAACCTCTGAATCTTCTGGCAACCACATGGTCACCAACTCCTGTACCAGCCTTTGCTGGCCAATTACTGTGATTTGGTTCATTCCAAGTAGTGATGCACATGTTGCATCACTGGGAGAGCACCCCAAAGGTGACAGTGATGGACATACTGCTCCTGTCCCTGTGCTTTGCATGCACTGGCTCATCACTGAATTTTGTATTTGTTTAGATAGAATGTGTTTCATTTTATGTTACATAAGCACAGCACTGATGACCAGCACCTTCCTCTCCAGCTTCATTTAGTTTGATTCCTCTGTCCAATACGTACGTGTGTGCTTAAATCACACGCACAAATTCCTAACCCTGCATAGGCCCTTTTCCTGCCAAGAAGTTCACATGCATCTCCTCCACCCAGCCTCCAGAGCTGGTAGATGGCTTGTGCCACCCTCCTGTCACTTAATGCCGTTGCATTTCACAGGGCAGTACGTTTATCTCGCTTAGAATAAGAATGAAAGATCTTGCTGAGGCCTTTTCCTGCCAGGGAACTGTCCGGTGTGAGGCTCCCTGGAGCTCATTTTGGGGGCTGGATTTTGTTTTCTTCGCCACTAGAGGGAAACCTGTCCCTTTGCATGAAAATAAAGGGCATCTCGGCTGCAGGATGCTGAGGTAGCTTGGGTGTATGAAATATAAACCAGTTGTTTCTGGCGGGGTAACCTGGGCAGTCTCGCTGTTAGTGTAAAATATGTCTTGTCCTAGTTCTTCAGTGCACATGGTTCAGTGTGGTTTGGTGAGGAGAAGAGGGAAATTAGGAATCAAATTCTGAGCTCATGCAAAGCAAATGGTTTCTGTGGTTCTGACACAGGGGCTCTGGATGGATCAGGCAGCTCAGCTCACGGGTGGTGTGTTCAGGCCAGTGCCCTGCAGCCTCCTGGCTTTTATCTAAGCCTGTGCTCACCCCTTGGGCAAGATGGAGTTTGCCTCCCGGGTTCCCACAGCAAACCTGAGTTAAATTCCCCCTCCTTGGGAGTGAAATCCCCTCCCTACGCAGTAGACATGAGAGTTCACCTGGCTACTCAGCTGCCTTGCAGGACCTGGCTGTTGCCTTTGTAGAAGGTCAGGTAAAGCTTTTGTTCCAAAGGTGGTTTTCTGCTTCCAATCATGAGGTTCCTCCTCACTCTCCTACAAATTATCTAGCTTGATTCTAATGTATTGATGAAGGTAACAGGATCTCTTTACCCCTTGGAAGAAAGTATGTCAATTTTTGGAGCAGTGACAGGTTTGGCACCTCCTGTGAGGGCCTTTATATATTGTCACAATTCGGCTGTGAACACGTTTTGTTTTCCCCACCTGCTTTTTAATAATGGGACAAACTGAGTCATTACAGAGTGAATGTTCTTTAATTGCTCCAGTAATATCTATTAATTGCTTTTAGCAACTTATACAGAGGACTCTGAATGTTATTGAAGAAGTTTGGAGGAAACTGATTTCAACCTAGCATTTGAAGTTACCACCCCCATGTTCAGGAAGATGATGCTTCATAAAAATTTCTTGGTATCTGAGTCTCCTCTGTATGTGTTCAAGTTGCTCTAAAATTTATAGTTTTTAACAGGTGGAGTTTTTCAAAACTTTTGGTAGTTTTTTGTGGTTTGTGTACTCCAGGTATATATACTGCCCTGGGTGGGATTTGTGTGGGTATTCAGTTGGAACCATTGCTCTTGTGGCTTTTAGCTACTCTGGAATTTTCTTAGTCAAAGGTTGACCCACCGTTTGCCGTGGATAGCATCCCTGTGTTGGAGAGGGAGCCTGTGGATAAGTCAGGTGATCAGAGCAGGACTCGTATGAGCAAACTGTAGGTAACAGATCTGTTGCCTTCCATTTTAAGAGTGACCTTTAACTCCCCAGACTTTGCAAAATAACTCCAGCAGAGCTCTGCTGTGCCTGTCGGAGTGTCACCTCCTGGGGACCTGCTGCCCTGGGGAGCAGCCTCGTGCTGCTGGGCAGGTCTGCTGGGCTGGCAAAAATGCTGGCTCTGTGCAGGGACAGCACCCTGGGGTGTGTGAGCAGAGGGCTGAGTGCACCCCGGGGTGTCCCAGCAGGGGGCTGAGCTGCTTGCCAATCCCCTGTCCCCTCCCTTGTCACCCCTGCCCTAAGGGAGAACCAGGTGGGTTGATGGTGCTGGGCTCCAGTGGGTGACAGCACAGGATAGCAAGGAGCTGATGCCTGTGAAGGATAGAGGATGATAAAGAAGACAAAAATCCCCTTTTCCCAGCTGTTTCCGTGAGGGACAGCAGTGTGGATTTGTGAATTCTCTGTGACATTGATCCTCCACAACAAGTGCAAGAAGACGTCTTCAGTTACAGAAACCACGTTCAGCTCGAGGTCCGAGGAGCTATTTCTGGCTGCTCAAAAACTTCAGTGAACTTCTGACTGATACGTGGGCTGCTGCTGGTGACTGGTGTGGGCTGCTTTTGTGTTTTTGGCATAATCTTCTTCTTAAATGCATTTGTATGAAAAGAAAGAACATGGGAGATGCTCCTCTGCCTGTGTTGACCATGCCAACAGCTCCTTACAGCGACCAGAAACCAGGAACCAGTGGATTACGGAAGAAGACCTTTTATTTTGAATCCAAGAGGAACTATTTGCAGAATTTCATCCAGAGTATATTTTCTTCCATAGACCTAAGAGATCGACAAGGATCTTCTATGGTAGTTGGAGGTGATGGGAGATACCTCAATAAGTCTGCAGTGGAACTGATAGTCCAAATGGCCGCTGCCAGTGGGGTTGGTAAATGTTAAATGACTAAATTCCTATAGTTGTGTAGCTGGTAAATGCAGAAAACCATAATAAATTAGTCACTATGAGATTTAATTTCCCCAGAGACTTTATTCAACTGCTAATAGTTAACCTCTTCATGGTAAATAATTTTGGTAGTTCAGAAATTAATGGGTTTTTAGCTTTTAAATGTTGCAGCAGGATAAAAGTATGTGGGAATACACATGCAGCTAAGAAAAGAGCAGGAGACTTGTCTGTTTGCAGTAGAGCATATTTTGTGCACTGCAGGGCTCTTGGGCACTGGTGTTTTGTCTTTGTTCCCTTCTGCTATTTAAGAAGCAAAGACTCTGCTGTCTGTCCTGGATAACTCAGTGCAGGGCAAACTCCCTGCTAAGAGGCTTGGTTCTTAGGAATTTGCTTGGCAAAAAAACTTACCTGATCACAAAAGAGTAATTAGTAGTGAATGGGAGAATAGGAGGAGATATATATATATATTTAATCAACGTATTTTCCATCTTGGTTAAAAAAGTAAGTCCTTTTGCATTGCAAATCAATACATTCCTCTTAGGTCAGTGTATGGGCTGAACAGAAGAGCTGGAAAATGTGCACAGAGAGCCAGGCCTACTGCTTGGACTGCTTGACACTAGGACAGATTTTCTGCTGGTAAAGGTGAGATTAGACTGATCTTCAGCAGCTGAGACTTTTCTTGTGTATTTCTTTCCAGCGTGGCCCATGTCTGCCCAAACTCTAGTTGTGCTGCTGGTTTTATTACTTTTCATTGATTATTTTTATATACTCTGGCTAATATCTGTGACTTAGCAGCCTTGGGCTCATCTTGCTCTATAGAACAGATGAGTCCAAGGATGTTTTCAAATAGAACAAGCCACGAGGAGGTTCTGAGTATGTGCAAATCTCTTTCTTGGTGTGTGGCAGAGAGAGATACAGTCATCTGTACAAATGTGGGATCAGGAGTGATTCCAAATTGTGCCAAGCACACTTGATGTGTTGACAGCATCACATTGCATGCTTTAAATAACAGTTATTTGGTTAAAGGAAATGACCAGGGTATTTTGTCCACTTCCCCTGACTTGTTTAAATAGTAGTGTCTCTATTCAGAGACTTAACTGTTCACAGAATACAGGATTAGTGCATCTTGTGATGCATCTCTTGGAGAGAGAGGACTGGAAGGGTGTGCTGATGACTTAATGGAGCTGTAGACACCATCTTCCTTGGCATGGAAAACATGTTTTTGGCATGAAAGCATCAGCCTGTGCTACTGAGGGGAGGAGAAGAGCTGCAGGAGGTCTCCTTTATTGCCCATGTGCATCTTCTTGGGGCTTCCAGTAAAAGGAGGGTGGAGGTGTTGCCTGGATTGCTTTGAAGTGCTGTAACCCAAAATAAGGTATTTTTGCATCTTTACGTCCTGAGATTCGTCTCATAAGAAATTCCAGAGAGTTAAAAAAGATAAAGTGTAAATTGCTCACCATACTGCCACACTGAGCAACAGTTTCCAGAGGTTACCACAAGGGATTTAACACTGGATGGGTGGGGAATGACATGTTGAAGACCTCTGAAAAATCAAAGAGGACCCCAGGAGGCAAAAGCTGCAGGTCAGGTGTGTGAGGAGGGCAGTCGGGTGAGGACAAGGGGTTTGATGTGTTCACCCAGTTCTCCTGTGGCTGCTGTGTGGTTTGGGAGGGAAATTCCTGGGTTTTGGGGGTCCTCCCCAGCATCCCTTGAGCAGCACATGGGGCCTGGCATAGCACCAATGCAGAGAGGTGTTGTGACCCTCAAAGGAACAAAACATGAAGTTTTAGAGGAGCTTCCTGGAGGTTGGGTTATGTCTCAGTGAAACTGTGGGAGCAAGACCTGCAGGCTGGAATAAAACATGAGAGAAGGTGTGCTGGCTGGGACTGAGAAGGGGGTGGTTTGGTCTGGAGAAAAGGGGGCTGAGGGAACACATTCTCATGCTCTACAACTACCTGAAAGAGGGTTGGAGTGAGCAGCAATTGGTCTCTTCTCCCTAGTTAAAAGCAGCAGAAGAGGAAATGGTCTCAAGTTGCACCTGGGGAGGTTTAAGTTGGAAATTAGAGGAAACTTCTTTACTGAAAGGATTATTAAGCACTGGAACAGGCTGCCCAGGGAGGTGGTTAAATCACCATCCCTGGGCGTGTTTTGAAGATGTGTAGATGGGTGTTTAGGAATGTGGTTTAGCACTGGGCTCCGTAGAATTGAGTTAATGGTTGGGCTCAATGATCTTAAGGATCTTTACCAACCAGAACAATTCCGTGATTCTGTGGGGAAAAGAGCAAAACCCACAGAGGTTTGGCTACTCCAATTAAATGTTTGGCTGAATAAAGCAGTGTGATCAGCTGGGTAGTCGGGCACTGTGGGGGCTGCAATAGTGGCTTCTGTGGCCAGCTGAAGGAAGGACTTTGGGTTTGTAAGCTGCTGTTTCCCATTTCTGCTCTCTGTTTGCTCGAGGTGCTCACCCAGCTGGGCTGTGACAGCTGGAGCATGTCAGAGCCCATGGGCAGCAGACAGGGCTTAGCACCAGGCAGTGCCACCAGGGAGGAATCACAGTCATCCCATGCCCTTGGCTTAGCACTGAGCCTGGACCTTTAGCCTGGGAATGCTGCCTTGTGTTTTCTGGTTTGTCTTGGGTTTGAATGAAATTCTTCCTCTTTTATCTGTTGTATTCAGGGTCTGATCCTCCCCAGTTGATGGAGAGGAGTCTGGTATTTTATTTTTAAATCTACATAACCCCATCTGGGGGCTGTGGTAAGGAGTGTGTTCTTCCAGAAAATTATTCATCTTCTGTTGTATTACATGGATCTTGATTACCTTGTGTTGCTCAGCACATTGATCTGGACTTAATCTCAGTAGTATTAATAAATTTATGGGAAGGAGAAGTGTTACCCACTGTGAGTAGGAAGATCTGCAGCTGGTCCCAGGGAAGTAGTGATGATGTTTGGTTTTTGTTTTGTTTTGGCTTCTCTCAGTCCTATTGTCTCATTTGAAAGCAAAGTTCCAGACCATAGCCAAAGGGGCTTGGGGGTTGGTTGGTTGGTGGTTGTTTTTTTTTTTGGATTGTTGTTTAGATGTCTCTGGAAAGCTCAGCTCTTCAGCACAAGCTGCCATTTCCAGCTGAGCTGCAGCATTCAGAAAGGACAATGCTAAAAAGGCACAACAGAGCAGGGTCAGATGCTGACCTTCACCGGGCACAGCAGAGAGCTTTGTGTGCCTCCCAGAAAGAGCTGTTTGCTTGCAGAGAAGCAGCACCTCTGCCTCCAGCACACCTGGTTCACCTGGCACCAGCATTTGGGGGTTTGGTGGTTTTGCTGGTTTTAGGATTTGGGACTCAAAGTAGTTTTGCTTTGCTCTTGAATTCTCAGATCGGCCGCTTGGTGATCGGGCAGAACGGGATCCTCTCCACCCCAGCTGTGTCCTGCATCATCAGGAAAATCAAAGCCATCGGTGGCATCATCCTGACTGCCAGCCACAACCCTGGTGGGCCTAATGGGGATTTTGGCATTAAATTCAATACTGCCAATGGAGGTGAGGTCACTTGGTTCGTTTGGATTTGCTCTGTTTCTGTTCGGCTGTTTCTCGTGTTGATTGCGAGGAACCTAATTTGACAGTCTTAATACTACACAGGTTCAGTGCCCTGAGCATTTGGTTTATCAGGTGATTGATCTGCTTCCTTCATACCCTGATATTCCTCTCCAAGGGAGGTATTCCCAGCTCCAGATCCTTTGCTGTGCTTCTGAAGTTCACTCTTCTTGTAGGCTGACTGTTTAATGTCTTCCCTCTTGTCCATTTTGTCTTGCAGGTCCTGCTCCTGAAGCTATCACAGACAAAATTTTCCAAATCAGCAAGAACATTGAAGAGTATGCAATCTGCCCAGACCTCAAGGTGGACCTAAGCACCATTGGGAAACAGCAGTTTGACTTGGAGAACAAATTTAAACCATTTACAGGTAAACAACTCCTCTTCCTTTTGGAAAGTTTCCCTTCAGGTGGAGTTTGTGTGGACCTGCCATGAGCGGGCGAGGACATTTGGTGTTTCTGAAGGACAGATGTGTCCATTCTGACCTCTCGTTCTCATCTGTTGGATAAGCCAAGCAAGGACATTGCTTCTGGTCACCGTGGCATTGAATTTATCTTACCATGTATAGATACTTTAATTATATAATTGGTTTTATCCTCTGAAAGGTTGTACTTCAGTAGGTAAAACCTCACTAAAATTGAAGGCTATTTTGTCTGTAAGGCTACCATTAATGTGTGCTTGTGAAACAAACAACTCTGCAGTTAAAGGGCCTTTTCCTGATTAAAAATTGCAGTGTTAATGTTTCATCTTTGCAACTTATTTTGCCCACATAATTTCAAATATAAAACTCTCTGTGAGTTGGAAAGCCATGACATTTCATAAGGTACTTTTGTTAATTAGCAGTGAAATATGAAAATACATTAATTAAAAAAAAAAAGACTTTTGAAAAACACTTAGTGCAAGTATTTTTTAATCATCTTCTGGTGACCTGTGCTTGTAATTTAAAAAATAAATAAATAATTAAATCAAGATATTATAAAAGTTGGTATTTCTGTCAGTCCCCATTTCTGCGTAGTGGGATGTTAGGATAGTGGGGGTTTCATGGCTCTGTCTTTACATGGCCTCTTAGTTGCAAAGGTGCCACTTTTTCCAACTATTAGCTGCACAGTTCCCATTGACTTTGATGGAAATTGGAGATCTCTTTTTAGAATGTTTTTCCCCCCTTTAGTCCCACTCTCCAGGTAAGGAGAGTGAGATGGAGGCCTCTGGAAAGAAATTCAGGGAGCCCAAGCTGGGAACAGTGTTTGTCTGAAGGGTTTTGTTGGTCTGTTTGGTCTGTAACCCAATTAGCAATGACAGCCTGTAATTAAATTCTTTATATAGGACATTTTTACTGTCTTTATTAAAAGATTCTATGGGATGTGTAGAGACTTGATGCTGTGCCTTGACCCTAAGGACTGTCAGCACACTGCCACGTGTAGCCAAATAATTTCAGACTCTGGGAGTTGGTCTCTATTTACTTTTCTGTTTTCCAGTGGAAATCGTGGACTCAGTAGAAGCTTATGCAAATATGCTGAGGAACATCTTTGACTTCAATGCTTTAAAGGAGCTGCTGTCAGGGAAGAACCACCTCAAGATTCGCATAGATGCTATGCATGGAGGTACGGGTGGGCTTGGGTTTGTGGGGCCACAGGTGTCCCCAGGGCTTTGCCACCTACTCCAGAGAGAAAACTTTTTCTCTAGTGATTAAATCCATAATTTGTAAATTTGTTTCTTGTTTGGCAATGTGTTGCATTTTCATTGGTGCAGACAAACTTCTTATGGCTTTATGTTGTTTGCTTTTGTCAAATGTTTGGATTTGGGAAATGTTTGGGGTTTGGAGGGAGACTAGAATGGCTCACACACCTCAGTCTACTCCTGAGAGACAGGAGGTCAGTGCTGATGCTGTGGTCTGAGCTGTCCTGGCAGACCTTGCAGCACTCAGTGTCCCATGGAGCTCACAGTGGTTAGGCAAGGTCTGTCTGTAGATATTTAAGTACAAAAATGGGTCCATTGGACCACTGGATATAATACGATATATTCTTCCAATAGACATTTTCAGGAGCACCGTAGCTTTCTTAGCATCTTGTTCTCTTGCCTCCAGGCCATTCTTATTCCCTTATTTCATGGGGCAGCCCCTCAGCTGAAGAGCTTGCTTTGGCAAGAACTTGTGTGCCTGGATAGATCCAGCTTAACCACACCTCTGTGTTGCCTGGGGCTTTTGATGGGAGCAGTCGTGGTTTAGCACTGTGAACCACATACACTTACCCAACATGAGCAGGCCAGAGGCCTGTGTGGTTACGTGGCTGGTACAGAGGTGCCTGAGAGCAGAGACTGACCCTTTTCCTCTTCTTGTTTTACCATGGTAGTTGTGGGCCCATATGTGAAGAAGATCCTGTGTGAGGAGCTCGGAGCCCCAGCAAATTCAGCAGTGAACTGCACCCCCCTAGAGGACTTTGGGGGCCACCATCCTGACCCCAACTTAACCTATGCTGCTGACCTGGTCCAGACCATGAAGTCAGGAGAGTATGACTTTGGAGCTGCCTTTGATGGAGACGGGGTAAATGGGCTGCTCTGTGTTCACCTTCTACCCCCTGCTCAGTTCACAGATCAGAGAATCATTCTGGTTGGAGATGACGTTTAAAATCATCAATTCCAACCATTAACCCAACTCTTACCAAGCCCAGTGCTAAACCATATTACTGAGCACCACATTGTGAGTGAGTGGCTGCTCAGCTGCTTTTCAGCAGAGAAGGATGAAGGCAAAGACCTTTTTCTCTCCCTCTCTCCCTTCTGTAATTACACGTGGAAGTGAAGCACTGGCTGCTGTTTGCCACCATGGTGGTGGTTGGCTGCTGAGTTACTAATGAAGTCCAAACTGTATTTAAGGAGTTTAAAAGGCTGTTGGAAGTCAGCAGGAAGGTGA